ATATGATGATGCTATTAAAATTCATAATATTTGGATTTTTCAATTAAAAAAAGTTATTTTCTGTCATTGAATATTAACCCCAGGATGATACGGCAGTGCATTGTTGAGGAACTTGTGCAACTCTAGAAGCAATAGTTTTCATTATTTATGAAATGACTCTTTTGGATTATGTGCTTTCTCTAATCTACAATGAACCTTGAAATCTAAAAACTTTCAAGTCTGAACGATTTCTATTCTGAAAACTGTTTATGAACAGAATACCTGCAGTCTGAGGGGGGCGTTTCCAGCTGCCGTGACGAGTCTCTGTCCTGAGGTTGTCCCCATGGTGGGACAGAGGGAGTCCTGGCCTCTCACTCTATGGTCGGGGCTCGTGGGAACCTCTGAGCACTCACAGGATGTTGCATACTGTCCTGTGCTGCCTCATGGACAGAGCAGGGCCTCAGGGCTGGGCTATTTGAGCTCTGGAGCTGGTGTCTGCGTGTTGGACACTGTCCAGATTCCAGCCCTCAGGGACCTTCCTCCAGAGGGAAAGTGTGTGTTTACTTCACTGTATTTATTGGGTCGTCCTGTATCATATTCAGTGAGCAATTAGGGCACTGAGTGTGCCAGAGGCAATTTTGTTAGTTTTCACCCCTGTGAGGACAGGTCTGTTTTTACTCCTTGCCAGTCTCCATCACCCTCTACTGACCGGCCACGGGGGACCTGCTTGTGGCCCAGCAGACTTCATGCTCTTGCTCTGATATAATCCTGGTTTTTGCTTTTGTTTCCTTAAAAGCCTTAAAAGCTGCCCGTCCTTAAAAGCCACAATATGTGCCACACCCAAAGGGAGCTGAAAAGTCACCATCACCCACTGCACGCTTTTGGGGAGGGTGATGGAGCAGGGGTTGAGGCAGGGGGCAATGGGTGGGAGGTTGTGAGGTAGACAGACAAGGAAAAACTCAACAGATGTGAAGTTTAATGGGTATAGCCTGGATATTCTGAAATGTGTGTCTTCGTGTCACTTAAATATTATTTACGAGATTTGTTCCACTCTCAATACCTGTAACTTTGCATTTCAGCTTGCGTACTTATTATTGTTAAGCATTTTGACTTTACCTTAGTAAATGAGATAGGTTTTGGGCTTCTGTGCATGGCGGCTTTACTGGGGTCTTGATCTCATGATTAGAGTGGCTTTTCATGTTGGAAAGTTCTTGGAAAAGACCTTTTTTTATTTATGGATTTAATTAGTGTAATATGGTTAGACGCAGGCTCATAAAAATTAAAGACATATTTATGTGACAACATTAGCTAGATTCAAGGTGACTGTGTGTGCATGTGTGCGTGGGTGTGCATGTGTACATGTGTGTGCACATGTGGGTGTGTGGGTGTGCACACGTGCATGGTCTTTGCACTTTCCTTGTGGGGAGGTGGGTGCACGGGTGATAAGTGAACTCTGTGGTTCCCCCAAATCCCGTGGCGTGTATGGTGTTATCCGCTGAGCATCCCAACGTCTGTTAAAACGCATATGTGATGGGTTCTCATGGGTTCGATGTAGATCTGCTTATATTTCAACATGACACAGATGTTACGGTAGCATTTATGACAAACTTAGATTAACCTCATTTTACATCAACTGCTGAAGATAATTTCAATACCCTTTCAAAACACACAGTAAAGGAAATGCATTAGTAAAGTCAAAACTTTATTAATTTCTCAAGAACAGAAGACCTGTGCACTGTGGGTTGTGCAGGACCTGGAGCGGCCTGGCCTGGAGAGCGGGGCCACATCCCATTCAGTCTGTGCTCCCAGCTCCGGGGGGCTTTCGTCTTTGGTCAAGTGTTTCTGTAGATCTTATGTCTGTTTTCCATTGAGTTGTTTGTTTTTTTGTTGACACTTTGTTTGCGTGTTTATATTTCTTGATTATTAAGCCCTGGTGGAATGGTGGTTTGCAAATAGCTCCCCCCATTCAGTAAGTTGACTTTTTCTTTGGATGTTGGTGGTGGAGGAATTCTTGCTCTGATCTAATCCTGGTTTTTGCTTTTGTTTCCTTTGCTGGTGGCTTTGAATCCACACAGACATCTCTGAAGCTGAGGTCAAAGAGTCTATGTTTTCTTCCCTGTATTTTATCATTTTATATCTTATATTAAAATAATAAGTGCATTTATTAACTTTTGTATATAGTGTGAGATAATGGTCTAGTTCCATTCTTTTGCATGTGGTTGTCCAGACTTCTCCGCACCATTTATTGAAGAGACTCCCATTAGTCATTGCTGCAAGAGTTATGTGTATATTTATGTGTGGGGCCTTGTTCCACTGATCCATGTGTGGTTTCCTCCCAACAACGTGCTCTTTTGATTACTATCACTTTGTAGCATGGTTTGAATCAGGAGCATAAAACCTCCATTTTGCTTTTATTGCTCAATTGCTTTGCTAGTCAAGATCTTTTGTGCTTCCTGCAAATGTTAGGGATTTCTTTGTTCTAATTCTGTGAAGAATGCCACTGGGATTTGATAGGCATTATATGAATTTGTACATTGCTTTATGGATAATGACCTTTTTAAAAATGCTAATTTTTCTGATCCATGAGAAAAGTATGTTTTCCTATTGCTTTGTCCTTTCTAACTTATTTCATTGCTGTCGAAAATCTTAGTGTGTGGGTGTTTAACCCACTGATTAAACTTGTCCTAGGTATTTTATTCTTGTTAATGTCATTGTAATGGGCTTGTCTTTATTTCTCTTTCAGATAGATTTTGTCTGTGTACAAAACCACTGAAATTTGTACAGTGATTTTGTAGTGTGCAACTTTGCACTATTTATTATTTTCATTTTGTTGCTTGAGTCATCAGGGCATGCACGTCTGCCTCCATGTCACCTGCACAAAGGAACAACTTTACTCCAGTGTGGATACCCTCTATGTCTCATGCCTGCCTGACCCCTCTGGTGGGACCTGCAGCAACAGGTTGAACAGCACTGGTGAGAGAGGCCACTCAGTCTCCCTCCTGACCGTAGAGGAAGAGCTTACAGGTTTTTTTTTTTTTTTTGCCACCAACTACTATGTTAGGTATGGATTGTCATTTATGATTTATTAATTGTTAGTACTTGTTTCTTATACCCATTTTATTTAGAAGATTTTTTTCTGATCAAATGGATGATGTGTCTTGCCAGTTGTTCCTTCTGAATCTATTCAATTAATTTTATGATATCCCCTTCATTTATATTACATTGATTTGACCAGAACCTATACAAAGTTTAACTCCAAATGGATCACTGGCCTTATGTAAAACACCATAGCATAAACACAGCACTTGACACAGCCTGAAGTCTAGGTAACCTTGAGTGCAGTGATTCTTTGTAGATACATTTCCAAAGTCATGAAGCATGAAAAGGAAAAATGATACCCTGGAGTTCAGGAAAATTAAAAACTTACCTGGGGAGGAAAATATCAAGAGAGGAGAAAAAAGCCACACTCTGTGAGAAAATACCTACCAAAGATGCACCTGACAAAAGACCTTCTTACAAAATAAGCAAATGCTTGTAGGATTCAACAAGAACCAAGACAGTTCCTGGCCTCCCCTGGGGGCACAGCGGTTAAGCGCTGGGCTGCAAGGCTGCCTACAGCCTCTGCAGTTACAGTTCGATGCCCGGCCTCTGGCGAGGGTCTCACAAAAAACAAACAAAAAATAAAGAACAGAGACCGTTCCACCAGAGGGGCCGGTAAGCTCACTAGACACTCCAAAGAGCAGGCATCGGCCAAGCAGGCTGCTGAAAGTCTTTTCCCCTCGTCCATCACCAAGAACAGCAGAGGGCATTTGAGATGCCCCCACACACTTGCCCAGAAACCGAACCCCACACACTAATGATGAAAGGAACATCAGGGCCTCTCACATGTCCCCTATAGGAAGAAGCCCACTGGACACACATTTATAAGACAGGTTAATGGGGGTCTGAGGAAACTGAAGTGTCTCTCACCTCGCGGTCAAGTGTTCACTTACTCTGTGTTAGCCAAAATGCGGGAGAAACTTCTACACTCACACAAAGCTTCACAAGTGTTTACGATAACTTTATTCTTCTTGCCAAAATTTGGAAGGAAGTGAGTCACACCTCAGAATGGATAAATGGTGGCCAGGCACGCAGAGGATGGCTGTCACCCAGTGAGAGCGGAGGGAGCTCCCTGCCTAAGAAGGAAGTGAAGGAAGCTGAGCTGGATTCTGCGAAGTAGAAGAAGTCGAACTGAAAAGTTGGACCTGTCCAATATCATGGCGTTCTGGAAACACCTGAACGATGGAGACAGGGGGAAGATCAGTGGTCTGCAGGTTGAGAGGGTGACAGCGGCAGGGTGCAGATGGTCGGGTGACTGGTGAGTCGCACTGGG